TGCCTTCTACATTGGTGGTTAGGATACCTTACATTAGTGGTCAGTGTGCATCTGCACAATGATGGTTAGTGTGTCCCCTGTACAAAGGTGATCAGTATGTCCTCTGGATATCAATAAAAAGCAAAAAATATACAGTAGAGCAATCCTACACTTCCTCTATAAAATAGTACAAATGGACTATTTGCAATGATAAAACCTATATGTGATTGAAAATCCAGTGCAACTAAAGCAATGTATTACACTGTAGTAGTAATGGTGTTATACTACCTGCAAAAATATTTTGTGAAACTGCAGAGCTGCAATGTGCAAACAAATGGTGAAACTCCCTATGAACAATAATAAAAGAGGTGCAAATCAACCAGTGTATTAGAACATAATAGTGATGGTTTCACCCTCTCTGCAAATTTGAAGCAATATTGCAGAGCTGGAATGTGCAAATAGTGGTGAAATCCCTCTGCATATAGTAATAATAATAAATGTAAAATGTATACATGAATCATGCATTATTATTATTATTATATGTAAGGGGGTTCACTACTGTTTGCACATTGCAGCTCTACAGCATACCATCACTACTATGTTCTAATACACTGGTTGATCTACACCTCTTCTATTAATATTGTATGTAAGTGCTAGCAGCAACCAGTTAAAAAGATTCTGTAGGTTATTGCATTTGATATTTTTTGGGTTGCATGGTAGTTGTTTGATTTGGTATGTCCTCTTTATATTGGTAGACAGTGTCCCTGCATACTGGTGGTCAGTGTGTCCCTGCATACTGGTGGTCAGTGTGTCCCTGCATACTGGTGGTCAGTGTGTCCCTGCATACTGGTGGTCAGTGTGCCCCTGCATACTGGTGGTCAGGGCTTTTCTTCCTCAAAGAATTAGTGCAAGATCCAACCACGCTCCTACCACATTACAAATGACTCCCCCCCTTCCCCCGAGGAGGAGAGCATGCTGCATCAAATGGTTGCTGTGGCCAAACTGTACTAATAGAGGGCATTGTTACCAGGAGTGCAATGCAAACAGAGTGTATGGTTCAGGAGTGTGTTATGCATAGAGTGAAGGGTTGAGGAGCTGGCTACATGCACAGTTCATGGTTTAATAGTGCACTACGTACAGAGTATAGAGATCAGAAGTGTGCTACATACACAGTGCAGAGATCAGGAGTGACCTACGTACACAGTGCAGAGATCAGGAGTGACCTACGTACACAGTGCAGAGATCAGGAGTGACCTATGTACACAGTGCAGAGATCAGGAGTGACCTACGTACACAGTGCAGAGATCAGGAGTGACCTACGTACACAGTGCAGAGATCAGGAGTGACCTACGTACACAGTGCAGAGATCAGGAGTGACCTACGTACACAGTGCAGAGATCAGGAGTGACCTATGTACACAGTGCAGAGATCAGGAGTGACCTACGTACACAGTGCAGAGATCAGGAGTGAGCTTCGTACACAGCACAGGTTTCAGGAGTGTGCTACGTACAAAGTGCAGAGATCAGGAGTACTCTATGTACACAGCGCAGGGTTCAGGAGTGTGCTACGTACAAAGTGCAGAGATCAGGAGTACTCTATGTACACAGCGCAGGGTTCAGGAGTGTGCTACGTACAAAGTGCAGAGATCAGGACTGAGCTACGCACTCAGCGCAGAGATTAGGAGGGCCCTATGTACACAGCACAGGGTTCAGGTGTGTGCTAGTACAAAGTGCAGAGATCAGCAGTGCGCTATGTACACAGTGCAGAGATCAGGAGTGCACTATGTAAACAGTGCAGAGATCAGGAGTGCGCTACGTACACAATGCAGAGATCAGGAGTGAGCTGTGTACACAGTGCAGAGATCAGGCGTGCCCTATGTACACAATGCAGAGATCAGGAGTGCCCTATGTACACATAACATGGTTCAGAAGTGTGCCCTGTACAAAGTGCAGATATCAGGAGTGCGCCATGTACACAGTGCAGAGATCAGGAGTGAGCTACATACACAGTGCAGAGATCAGGATTACGCTATGTACAGAGTGCACTGTGAATGGGCTCAGGGAGTTGGTGTGCAAGAGCTCTAGCCTGTTTCTAGAGTGTGGGAAACAGAGGGCTGTATTGTAACACCAGCAATGTTTATATTAAAGATAATGCAAACAGAGGGAGGGAGGGATGGATGGATGGAGGGGTGTGAGGAAGGATGGGGGGGGGGGGGGAAGGATGGAAGGGGGGGAGGGGGAGGGATGAATAGAGGGATGGACAAATGGAGGGTTGGTTTTGGATGGATGGAGGAAGGCAGGGAGGGAGGGATAGATTGATGGATTAATGGATGGAAGGAGGGATGGGTGGATGGATGGAGGAAGGGTTTTGTATGAAGGGAGGGAAGGAGGTTGGGATGGGTGAATGGAGGGAGGGAGGGATGATTTTGCTGGATGGAAGGAGGGGGGGAGGGATAATTTTGTATAGCTGGAGGGATGATTCTGGATGGATGGATGGATGGAGGGAGAGAGGGAGGGCTGGGATTGGTGGATGGAGGGGTGACTTTGGATGGATGGGTGGAGGGAGGGAGGGAGGGAGAGAGGGATGGTTTTGGATGGATGGAGGAAGGGATGGATGGTGAGGCAATGTATCTCACACTGTAGAAACAAGCCTGCTCTCTCCATACGTGCAGAAGCTTTCCTTTCCCTTTAGGCCAAGTGTAGGAAAACAACTCACATCACTGCAGGCTGGAGAATCTGCCTCTTGTAGTCCATCACCCATTGCAGACTGTGTTCTCTCCACTCCTCTCATCTCCCCTTCCTGTGCAGCTACTGGCACTTCCTCCTGTTACAGCTTAGAAGACAAATCAGGCGGGCTGGGAAAGAGGGCAGGTACAGTGCTGATTGGCTGTGGAGGCAGCAAAGAGGCTATATATCAATCCGCCTCTGAAACCAGCCTGCCAGGACCCACTAAAGGAAATCTTAAGTCTTCTGAATGTAATGATTGTCAATGGGGTTTTACTGACTTTAAACCAAAAGCGATTTCTCCTGCGCTCCGGGACCCAGGCCGGTGGTAAGTAGATGGAATCAAAACTCCAGAAAGGCAACCACCGGAGTATACAAAGTCGTGCAGCTCCAAACCAAGGCTGGGGAAGCCCGAACAGACTGTGAAGTGAAACAACAAGAAGCGCACCAACCTTGTGCATTACCTCAGTAACCAAAATTTATTTAATAAAGGAATGGTACTCACAAACAGCGAATAAAAACAGGCATGTAAGTCCACCAAGGGACTTCAAAGGCACGAGGCCAGCGCGAATCCCATCATGGGTGTAGGCACTCAGTCCAGGTCAGTACAGCTGGACTGAGTGCCTACACCCATGATGGGATTCGCGCCGGCCTCGTGCCTTTGAAGTCCCTTGGTGGACTTACATTCCTGTTTTTATTCGCTGTTTGTGAGTACCATTCCTTTATTAAATACATTTTGGTTACTGAGGTAATGCACAAGGTTGCTGCGCTTCTTGTTGTTTCACTTCACAGTTTTACTGACTTTAACCTTTCCTATGTATACTTATCATTTGACCAGTTTCACTAAAGGGTTATGTGAATTAACATTATTTAATGTAATCATTAGTGTGAAAATGTAGGAGCGAATATTTCTATATATTTAAACCAAACAAAATTTTTACATTTTCTCTCTTTTTTTAGGGATTAATAAGTTTACAAAGAAAATTCGAAGCCCCTACACAATTGACAATAATGAAATTCTTGACTTCTTTTCCAGAGTTCCATCTGATGTGCAGTTGGTGAGTGGTCTCATAATATATCTGTGCAAAACCAAGAGGGTACTGTATATGATCAGAGTGTGCTGCTCCTTGGGTCAGACATATCTGGAGAATGTATGAGTTTAGGCGTATTCAGATACAAGTCCAAACCCACCTGGGCTATCCCACCAAGAATCTGTCACTGCGGATTGCCAATTATAAGCAGTCGAGGCATTCCATGCCCCACAGCTGACCATATAGTGCTCATATGTGTGTAGAAAAACATCCACAGCTTTGTACATCTCTCTAGCTAGAGATAAGTTAAAATGAAACTTTCCTTTGCCATGCATGGCAAATTAAAAGGGTGTAGAAAACATTGAGATTGCTCCCTGGTCACACCCAGGTATCCCCAAAACAGCGAAATGCTAAAAATACAAATATGGCGAAATTCTATTGTGATTACACATTATTCAAACACAACCTCTTGTACACAAAATTATTCATCAGGTAGTAGGGCTGGTAGGCATCCTAAAGTAAAAAAAAAAATCACTTAACCACCCTCCTTCCCCTAGCTATGTATGCCCACTATTCCTCACTCCCACCTCTCTTTGGGAAAAAAAGTCCTGTGAAATTTCTAAACTAACTTGTCTAAGCTCATATAGGGCAATGGACTCCTTCCCTACCTCCATGTGACAGTTCTAAAACAATCAAAAGGCACCTAGCATCATCATATGGGAGACAGGGAGTGAATCGTGCTCATGTACACCCAGAAGTGCCAATTTTTTTACTGCATTTCCTGCCGCTCAGAAGAAAGTTGAATATACAGTATGCTGGTGGGATGGGGGGGAAGTTGAATAACCATTTTACTCTGTGCTGTAAGGGCAAAGGAAATGCTCTCTAAAAAAGCTAACTCAAGTTAACCTCCCTAGCGGTCTGATTATGTCCATATTTCTGTGCTCAAAGTGGTACATTTTTTTGCATGAAAATATGTATTTTTTCTATTGTAGGCCTGCAATATTTAGGAATAACTCACTCAAATCTGTCCGAACAAGAGTCTAGTAAACATCCCGGGTATGTTAAAATTTGAAACACGAAATAATAAATTATATTTAATAAATAACCATAAAAAATAATAATATAATAATAAATTTAATTCAATAATATAATCAAACCAAAAACACTGAAATTTGAAATATAGCGCCAAGTTCGCACATCACTGAGCAAAGTTGCAAAATCGTTTTCAGTGTCTGATGACGAATTTCCCCACAAATCATTAACACTCAATTCTGCAAGTGGTTCTGATTTGCTATCGCTGTTCTCTAGCTGGTCTAAAACCACTTTTGACCTAAAGGGATACTTTTTGGACGCCATGGACGTTTCTCAGTTTCCAGGCAATAAGAACAGTAAAAATGCAGGCAGGGCACAGGACAAAGCACTCGGGAAAAAATGTATGTGAAATGGTTTGATAGAGTAATGTTTTACTATGTGATTTTAGTGAATGTCACTTTTTGTCATTTTCAAATTTCCTGCCGTTCCGTCCCCCGTACGTCCCGACGTTGCATGGGACGGAACCCAGATGACAGATGTCGGCATCCGCCGGATTACATTGCTGGGGACACTGCAAGAGGGGACATCGCGGGAGCGCAGGACAAGGTAAGTGATCGAGGGATCGCGGAGAAGCGCCGCATGGTATTCCCGAGTATAGCTCAGGGTTACCGCTTGTGGTACTGAAACTTTACCCCGAACTACACTCGGGAATACCGCCAGGGAGGTTAACAGGACATGATGTGAACTAAGATAAGTAGTAGAGAGAGGAGGAGAGACAAAGTAACAGCAGATGGTTTCAGAGTGAGGTTTTGGGGGGTTGAGCAGCACCTCAACTAAACTGATGCAATTTAAATATAGCGTGGGTCAATGATGTTTATATGTCAAACTCCCCTCTCCACTGATGGTGTTTGGTGGTGGTAGTAGACTTAAAGAAAATCAGTAATGACAGACATATGTTGGCTGCCAATGTTCACTTTCCTCTGAAAAAGCAACTTAGTTGGCTGTGATACTGATTCTTTAGTCGGCCTTGGTCACTTGGCCTCAGAAATGAATAAAGTTGGGCTGTAAAATAGGAGAGGGTTTAAACTAAAAGAAAGAGAAAACAGCACAAGGGACTTTTGTCCCTTTTTTTTCTGTTCTGAATTCTAGCCTAGGAAATGGGTAAAAAACCCCTCAGGTATTTTTGCTGTCCTGCGGAGATTTCCCTTCACTTCTTGCCCATGCAACAGATAATGAATTGAAATCTCTTTAAAGCGGTGGAAAATTCCCTCTTTGACAATCACCAAGACAGGTGTCCCCTTTGAAGATTTTACCTTCTGTTCTGGAGACACGTGTAAAGTTTTGGATTTCCTAGCTTTTTCCACAGTAACATTGGATAAACAGGGTGAATCTTCCTGGCAGGTGTTTAGTACACTCTATCTAAAACAATGCTCTTTACACCTAATTCTGCACAGTCCACTGCTTGAAACTTTCCTTGTCTCCACTGGAGGTGCCCAGCGGCTTTTACCATACTAATACCTCCCCTTTTACATAAATGAGTTTATTATCACAAAAATGGTACAAGCCAAGTAAAAAGATTAGATTCGTTTAAAAGACTCATTTGACTAAATTAAAAATATTTATGTATCCTTGTGGTAGGAAAAGGCTTACACACATCCTTGTATTATACTTTTTCATTTTTCCATCTATTTCTCCATTCAAGCTGTAGCTTTCATTGTACTGCAATGCCTTGATCTTGTTTTCAGGAAAAAAATGTTCTATTTTTTTTCTATTTTTTATTATAAGAGTGTGTCCGTATAATCATTTTGTTTTGTACTTGTGTGTTTAAACAGGTGCAGTATCGTGAACTGAAACCAGACCCCAGCCACAGTCCAAGCAAGCGGAAGAAAAATAATCTCGGTTAGCCAACGCCACGCATTACAGACAATAGAATCTGCTCATCCCAGATAAAGGGAAGCCCTGTGGCCTCACATGCATTTCCATTGTTTATGTTACCTTATACTGTATTTTTTTATCATGATAGAGAAAAATTGTAAATATTGTATAAAGGCAGATACCATTGTACAAAACTAATTTGATAATAATTTGGGAGTTTATCTCTTGATGTGTGAATGCTTTGCTTGGGTCAGTAGCACGATGCTCTAAATTATGTTGTTTAGCAGCATTCAGAATAGTGTATATGCTGGCTATACAGCAGGACGTAGCATTGTCTGCTCTGATAGGGGCTGGGAGAGGTGTTTAAAGGCTGTACATGTTTGTATGCACATGCTTTAGCCAAAAAAACTATATTTACTACATAGAGCAACTATTTTGGTTTTAAGAAGAGTAATATGCACTTTTAGATTCAGTGCCTAATGGTACCCAGGTACCAGTGTCAGAAGGACAAGAACACTTAAAACCCTAAATTGCAGCCATGGCTCAACTAAGTTGAGTGGGGAAGGGTTGGATTCTTAGATGATATTGCAAAACAGTGCAGACAATACTTCTTTACATTCTACTAAATGGTATTTTATTGGCCTGTGCATCTGGATTAAAGACCCCCTCCCCCAGTCCTCCATTTGGTAGTAACATATAGGATGAGTGAATGTGAAACCTCCAAAAAAAGAACATAGGCAGCAATAAAGCATGGCAAAACGTTTTATAATTTCCTAATCTGTCAAAAAAGAAAAAAGTTTTGGAATCAGGGTTGCTTTAAAGACTGATTCCAGCCCAACCTTTTTTTTTCCTTTAAGACAAAATTGGAAATTAAAAGAATTTAATAAAGTTAAGGTGTATAAACGGAAATTCTTAAAACAGTAGTGACAGAATTAAGAGACATTAGGAGGTACTTAGTGGATATTTAAATATTTCACACTTTGCACATGTATTAACCCACTAATGCCTCATGTTCCATTATTGGGTCGTAATGATGTGGGAGTTATTTATATCCTACTGCTCAAGTTCATTTTTCACAATTCAAAACATTTCAACCTCAGGCACAAATGGTCATTACTGGGCAGTTGCAAGTTTCAGCAGTCAATGCCAACCAGAGATCTTAAACACAACCATATTGCAGTAAAACCACACAATGGGGGATATTCAAAAAAAATGGAGCAAACAGAATCTGGAGTAGCTGTGCATGGAAACCTATCGGCTTCTATCTTCAGCTTGTTCAATTAGGCTTTAAAATTAAAGATAGAAGCTGATTGGTTGGCATGGACAACTGTTCCAGATTTTGGCTGCTCCTCTTTTGATTAATTGCTGTCACGGTCTTCCAAAGTAACTCACCTACAAGAACCCCAAATCCTTGGCTACTTATTTGAGTTGGGGACTTCTAGTGGTATTAATTCAAAAAAAAACAGCTGGACTTGCTTTCTTGTTCTTATACCAATTACACAAGCCATGTGTTCTGTTCTGTTTATCTTGCATAATTTGGTTACCACTAATGTCACACTAACAAGGATATATTATAAGGCTCATATAAGTCCATGGGTTCCCCATTGAGGTGGGTGTTAACTGTAGTTATATACAGTAAATGCTAATTTTTGAACTGTGGAATATACATTTAAAAAAAGGGGGTTGAAATGTGTATAGTGAAGTGTACAGTAAATCCACTTACACTGACCAGTATCTAATGTTTACATTTCTACCACCCACTGGAAACACACAATGGGGGTTATTACCACTTTGTACCTCTGGACAGAACCAATCATGATTCTTAAAACAAGAAAAACAAACACCTTTAAAGAGCTTTAAAAGCTCTAAGATTAACAAGATCCAGTAGGGACACCACACCAACAACCCTTCACCATTGCTATTCACCTTATATATGGTTAGAGTGTCAGAAAGATGTAGGGGAGTTTTCAACAAACATCATAGCTAGTCATTCCATATGTGGCTCAGTTGTCAGAAAGACATAGGAGTATGTCCAACAAACATCATAGCCATGTTTTTATACCCAGAACCACACTTAGTAGCTTGTAAACCTACAAAATCCAACAACCAAGTATTGGAAAAACAATGTGATATATGCAGCACTGAAAATTGCCAAACACCTATATTATGGGGAGAGAAAACAACTGATGGTACATGGCTTTTAATAAAGGAAGGCTAATTCCTTAGATCAAGAATTACCTACATCTGAACAACACGAGATGCTGTGTGGGAGAGGAAGATGAGTGGATAACGCATAAGGTTTGAAAGAGGCATGTAAGTATGACATTTACATGACATTAAACAAAAATGGCAATCACCCAAATGTATAACTAGCTTTAAGGTGCATATGAAAGCACTTTGCACAGAACAAACAAAACAACATTTCTCCAAGTACACTTGCAAACTAGTCACAAAAACACATTTTACCAATTTGTATTGTAAACAGAGGTTTTAGTTACACAACATTTGCAAATATACTGTGGAAGCTGCTCAATTTTAATGCAAAATGTTAACACAAATTCTTGGTGTAATTTGCTTTTTTTTTTGCTGGCTGGCCAGTAAGTGTGCTGGGAAGATTTTAATTTTCCTTTATCTACATCAAAATGGAACATCCTTCCCTAAAAAAATAGGAGGAGGCTTTCAATATTAGCTATCAGCTACTTAGAACAATGCTAATTTTTATCTTGGCAGTTCTATACCTGGTACACGCCAGCCTCAGTGATGTGCTTGTTTAAAGTAATAATAAACCCATTCGTTTTTGTTGAGATGCTGAGAGTAGGACTTACCTCTTATTCAAGCTTTTTCTGCAATTTATGTTTTCCATCCTCTGTTTTCAAACTCCACCGACTGCTCACACTGATTTCTGGTATAAGGGTGGCTTCTTGACTCTTGGGGGTTTATTTACTAAAGCTGAAGAGTCCAAAATCACCCTTCTGCATAGAAACCAATCAGCTTCTAACCTCAGCTTGTTCATTGCCAAAGCTTCATTGTTCAATGAAGCTTTGGGCAATGAAACCTGGAAGCTGATTGGTTTCTATGCAGAAGGGAGTCTGATTTTGGACTCTCCAGCTTTAGTAAATAAACCCTTGGAGTCCCACCCTTATGTTTGCCCTCACAACATACACGCACATGCTGCCTCCACTAGACATGCACAGGCAGCTCAAATTAATAGCATTAATAAAATCACGCTGGTTGCGTATGTGCAATGGCTCTATGAATGGTGAAATTTGTAGCCCAGAAGAGGTCAATTTAGGAGTCACTTTTTTACATTAAAAGTGCATCCCCTTGGATGGAAGGTTGAGTTAACTTGGCCATATATAGAGTGATTTTCTTTCCTGCAACCACAGCTGGTCAGTGTTGATAGAGGAATCCCTTCCTTGGAGACATTGTGCTCTCTCCTAGTGGGGGGGGGGCTGGGGGAGCCGTCCCTGCCGGGAGAACACAGTGATTTCTGATAGCTGCTACACTGTGTGCACAATTATTAGGCAAGTTGTATTTTTTAGGATTAACTTTAATTATTGAACAACTATAGTACTCTTAGTCAATCCAAAATGTTAATAAACCTCAAATCTGAATATTTACGAAAGTAAAAGAAAGGTTTTGACTTTCTTAGGAGAATATCTATGTGTGCCCAATTATTGGACAACTATAGGTGTGCAGAATTATTATGCA